GCAGACAAGACCTCAGACTTGTTTTTGACCTTGTTTCCTGAGTTATCCTGAAGTTTGTTACTGCTGGGACATGAAAGGAGGAAGATATCCAACAAGGGCAGCTGGTCTCCAGAAGTCCCTTCCCACCCATTCTGTGATCTGTGCCACAGTTCACAACTCCCTTTTGCTTCCCAACCAGAGGGATTCAGTAGGGATTTCACAATTTAATCAAAATATCATTTATATGATTCCCAATGCAGATTTTTTAAAAATAAAATCTCTTGCCAGTACCTGTGGGTTGAAATCCAAGCCAGTAAGGAAGGAAAAGGCAAGAGCAGCAGTTTTATTTTTAAAGAATAATATAAAATGCCTAAATTGCTGGAACAGGTGTGTTTGTAGCCCCTTCCTGTCCTGCCCACCCAAAACTATAAAATGCCTTGGCTTGTGTGTAACAACCTGGATTTGCACACTCCAACAAGCTGAAAACATTAGTGCTGGATTACAGACTGTAAATACATGTTTTCGAGACTTGCATTTCATTTTTACATTCTTGACTTTTCCATAATTCTCATTGCTTCCATTTTCTGTCCTGTTGGGTGAGAAAACTGGGGAAAAGAGGGACCAGTTGCTTCCTGCAGCTTCCTCTGACCCTGCACAAGCACCCACAGCAGTGCCAGTGCCTCTGTCCTGCTGCTGTTCCGTGGCTTTTACTCCCTCTGCCTGGATTCAGGCAGCACATTCCTGGAGCCTGCAGCGCATCCTGGATGCATCCAGCTTGTCTGGGAAGGAGGAGAGCTCAGGATTGCCTCGCTAGCTCCCAAAATGTGCAGCTGTGCTCTGCTGCTGGATTTGTGCTGACTCCCCTCGGCAGGACCAGTGGCCGGCGAGAGGAGGGAGAGGCACTGACTGGAGAGGGTGCTAATGATTTAGGGAATGGGAAAACAGGCTGAGAGTGGTCCCTGACCACTGTCCCTGCAGAAACATCAGAGCCCTGAGCAGCTCTCTCAGAGGATGCTTTTCAGCGGGGAGAATAAGCAGATCCAGGCTGTGACAGCTAATCTGTATCTCTAAATCCAGCCCTGCAATTATTATTATAAGCTTTCCAGGAGACCATTAGATCTGAAAAGTAAATTTGAATTTATAAATGGAGTCCTGCTAGGCAGGGTCAGGGCTCCATCCCAGGCATCATTTAATGGCATTAGGGGCTGATAAAAAGGTTGGAAAATCAGCAGAGGGGTCAGAACTGGCCTGAGATGCTCCCTCAGCCGTGGCAGGGTGTTTGATTCCCGTTAGATCAGCACTTTGGAGCTGAGTCACAGCTGTGCAGCCTCAGTATCTGCCCTAGAGGCCACGCACAAACGGGCAAGGAGCTTTTCCAGCCCACACAAATAAGGGCATCAGGGCTCTTTCTGGTTCCCCAAAGCCTGTCCCCACTGCTCTTCCCTGGTCTGTCACACAAACCCCCCGTGCTGGTGCCACCAGGCTCGGGGCTCCAGGGAAATGAGGCCTGGGTGGAGATTACAGAGCGTGTTTGGAATTGAGCTGAGCTGAGGAACATCATTTCAATAAGGAGATGTTCCAGGCAGACATGAAACACGGGGATTTCAAGATGAGTTTCCTGCTTAATTTTTTAATCCCTTGCCCAATCTTTCAATGCGCTCGCTGATGCTCTGGGCTTTGATCCCCCCCTTCCCCTGCTTTGGACTTTGTGCAGACTTTGAGCTGCTTTACCATTTGATGCAACTTGTAGCCAATGACCTGGAGCTCTGAAGCCCCAGGTATGACCTTAAGAAAAGCCCTTGATCTGTCTGGGGCAGATCTTCCTTTGGTGCAAGTTGCCTTACACCGTGTTTGTGTTCTCATGTGGGAAGTAACAGTGGGATCACCTTTCCTCCTCCTGCCTTTTGTCAAGGCAGAGAACCATCTGTCTCTTCCTAAAGTGCTTCAGACAATGACTGTGCGCAGACAACCACAACCACAGCTCCATAACCCCCCCAGGCCCACGTCCCCCCTTGTTTACACACATGCTGCACACACCAGCTCATTCTCAATTATTTTTTTTTATTTATTTAGAAATAATAAAATAAGACATAATATATAAAAATCTGTACAATCCACAATTTGTGCAGTACATTAGGAAGACTTTGATACAAAAAGGCTGCAAACAGGAAAATAGTCATGGACAACTGTCAGATGCCAAGATTGTTCACCTTACAACAGCTGCAGGCCAAAAGTCCTTACAAAATCAGCTTCTCGTTGGCTGTGGAGTGGCAACTATGCAGCACCTTCTACTTCACAATGGTGGTGAGCAGCCATAATTTAAAGACATTACAGTACTTCTCAGTTTTACCTTGTAATCCATTATGAAAGAAAAGAAGACCTAAGAGAAAACAAATTAAATATCTGAACCCTTTGTCTTTCCCGAGACGAGAGAGTGCTAAACTAACCCCACAGAAAGTGTCTCGTGGCTGGGAGAGTGTCACCAACCCCAGCTGATAAAGTCAGGATTTCCAGCCTTTGCTGCTTCACCAAGGCCAACTCGCACGGAAGAGACGGGGGAAGGAAGGGAACCATCCCCGGCTGCCCCCGGAACGCTTTTGTCACTGTACACAATATTATGGTTTAGACAATGTGTCTCATTCAAGTATTTTCAGGGAAGGGCAGAAATAACATATTCCCCCCCAGCCCCTAAGCAAGATACAGTATAAACCTTCTGTGCGAGCCAACTGGATCCTGGATAAACCAGAGCCCGGCGGAGCCTGTGGGTAGAGCTCAGTCAGTTCAAAGGGCCCCCAAATCAGCATCAGCTTGGCCCAGGATCAACAGGAACTGAAGAAACGCTGTCAGTCACTGTCTAGTCCTTAAAAAAATATCTTTTTTTTTTTAAATGACTAACCCCATTTGCTGCTGTAGAAGTGCTACAATAGCCTGACCTACACCGGGCTGGGAAACACGGAGCCGATGGAGAAAGGGGAAGTGGTACCATGGAGTTACATTGCAGGTCTGTTTTTAGCAGCTTCCCCGGAGCCAGAGGCCGAGTGCAAGCCTGCAATGGAAGGTTCAGTCGGCAAAGACAAAGGGTTGGGAAAAAAAAAAAAAAAAGAAGAACACGGCAGAGAGTAATGGATTACCCCAACACACACCCCCTCGACAGGACTAGCTGGTAACTCTGAAAAATGCCAGTAACTAGAACATGTTTTCAAATGAAAAGTCCATGCTCGAAAATAAATAAAGTTCATAGCATTAGGAGTCCTATAAGGCTTGCAAGTATTTGCTAAAAATCATGCTAACCTGTAGCATCTAGTACTAGTGAGCCGAGACTGCCGAGCTGAATTGATACTTTGAGTGGCCTTTTCGTTGTCTTCTCCTTGTCCTCCTTTACAGACTTCTATTTACATTTGGCTTTAAATATGAAAATACTTGATAAACTTTATAAAATGTACATTTTAAAAATATTTCTGCAAAAACCGACTTGAAAAACAAAACAAAACAGGAAGAAAAAAAAAACAAAAACAAAACAACACAAACAAACCCAAAACCTCTGCACCAGAAATGTTAAGGGGGGAGGGGATTTTTTTTTTTTCTCTTTCTCTCTGAATTTCTTGTGTTTTAAAGAAACGAGACGAATCCTGTATTTCCTATCCCCCATCTCTCATCCCTCCCTCGAATATCTCAAGTATCATTTAGTGGGAGCACTGTGCACCTGGGGGATGCTGACCTGAGAACAGGTCCCCTCTCTCCCACTCAGCCTCCCTTCCCGCTGTGTTTTCATGCACCCTCTGTTTCACTGAATACTCTTTGGTTTAGGTTTTTTTTTTTCCTTTTCCAAGAACATCACAATTAGCAGCACTAGCAGCACTCCATTGTCTCCACCACTGTTGACCCAGAAACTGCAACCAAATCACCTTTTTGTGTTCACCCTTCCTTTCCTTTCTCCCCTCCCACCCCAGTAACAGCCTCAGTACTTGCACTTCATCATCTGCCCTCTCCAGTAGCCAAATCCACATTTACAACCCCGAGTCTCCACAGTTTTGAACCCACCCGCTGCAGATACCATCTCATCAGAAACCACTTCATTGCAGGCATTTCTTTCAGGCAGGGCTGGAAGGGGCCAGAGGCCTTCACAGATATCCATTTGCAGAAGACATTAGACCTAGAACAAGCTGTTTTTTAATGGCATACAGTGATCCAATACTGCAAGAGTTGACCGGGATTATCGTCCCCACCGCCCCGCTCCGCTCCCCGGGGAGCAGGGGCCAAGCACAGGTTCGCTGTCTCCTTGATCTTAGAGGCACAGAGAATTTAAAGCCTTCTGGGTGAAGGAGCCAAAACACCCCCAGAGCCAGAGCTTGGCTGAGGGTGACCAAATCAGCTCAGAGCTGGGTGAGGTGTCTCACCCACTGACCATTCGTTTGGGGAGAGGAGGCAGGGGATGGACCTCCCTTTGCAGCCTCGTCTCCCCAAACAATCCCTCTCTACGTGAGAGAAAAATACACTTTTTTGACACCCCTGCCCTGCTGAAGAGAAGCATTTTGTACAAAATCCTGCAATCCCTCTGCCCTTCCCAAGTGCTGTGCTGTCAAAGCTGTTTGCTCCTCTTCCTTCCTCCTCAAAAACCTCTTCCTGGGGGTTCCTCTGCTGCTTGGCTCATCCGTGCCCAAACACGTGCTCCTGCAGCCTCGGCCTCTGGCATCCACCAGCAGCTCCATGGCACAGTTTCCCACTCGGAGCTGAGGAGCTTGAGGGCCAGCTCCAGGCTGCTGAGTTTCTTCTCACAAGGAAAGAGGGAATTTATTTCCCCATCGAAGAGTAGGAGGAAGGAGAGGAGGCCCAGCTCACTTTAGATCCGAGCCTTAAGCTTTTCGAATAAGGTGCAAAATAAAGGTCTTAAAAAGGAAAAAAAAAAGAAAAACAAAAGAAAAAAAAAAAAAGAAAAAAAGTCAAAACCAAAAAAAAGTGTCTGAGGTTTGAATTTTTTTTTTTTTTGTTTAAAGCAGCCTGTTCCTTTTTTTTTTTTTTTTTTTTTTTTTTAAATAAACTCCACTGTGCAAAACTGTGCATTTTCTTTGGTATCCACTTAGGTAGTTTTCACTTAGTACTTTTTCCTACGTATACGTATATTTTGTCTCACTTTAGACAGAGAATTAAATTCTCCCCCCAAAAATCATAATTTTGCTGGAGGCTACTGATTGGCCTGATATTACATAATGCCCCTTATGTAATTGGAAAGAGAGAAATTGATTCTAGCTATCAAACTACTGGCCTCAAAAGGAGTTTAGACTTTCTGGCAACATCGGCCTCTCTGAACTGATCACGAGCTTTTCATCCCAAAAAGTTCAACACTGACTTTTTTTTCTTTTTTTTTTTTTTTTTTAAATTACACAAGAGAAAATAAAAACTACACTGCAACAAAAATAACCATTTGTGTTCATGTAGTTAGCAGCAGCTTTTTAAAAAATAATTATAATAATAATAATAAGGCAGATCCTTGCCTTTGTTATGCCATTAAAAACATTCTTGTTCCCTAGAGAGAAGCATTCTGGAAAAAGTTGAAAAAAAAAAATAATAATAACCCAACCAAAGCTTGCCTGCAAGTTCAAGTTTTGTAAAAAAATATATACATAATTTATTCTACAACATATGTGCCTTCTGTTCATACTTAGACATGTTTAGTGCTTTGTGTTTAGAGTTCGCTTTCTGTCGTCCCTCCTCTGAGGACAGCCCTAAAACCAGCCTGGGTTTCTCAGGTCTGCTGCCTTCACACCACACTCTTCAACAGTACCGTTGTCTGAAAACTGTTCTGGGCCAACTTCTCAGGTCAACAACGTGCCTTTGACCGGTAGATGTGGGTTGTTTTTTTTGTTTTTATTTTAAACTTTCAACCAAAAGGGAGAGGAAGAGTCCGCCGGTCATATTTCCGACTCCCGCCGCAGCGGCCGCGGCTCCAGAGGCACGCCGGCCTGGTTGTGGTGGTCCATGTCGGGGTGGGTGTCTGTGCTCATGCTCTCAGGCACCCCCGTGTCGATCTCGTCCTCCTCTTTGCTGCTGAGGGCGACCTCGTTCTCGTAGCAAAAGGAGTTCGCGTTCGAGAGAATGTATTTCTTCTCTGCTAAGTCTCTGGCACTGCAGATGGGTGTGTTGGGCACTTCGTATGTTTTGTGGAACCTCGAGTAGTCCACTTTGTAGTAGTTTTTCTCTTCGAAGAGCACGGGCTCGTAGCGGTGGCCCCAGAGGATTTCGTTCGCCAGGTAGGAGCTACGGCACTGGGTGGTCATGGCGGTGGCCTCCACCATGCCCTCTAATATTACTACGATTTCAAAGTCAGCATTGTCCATGTCCTGCTTGCTCAGGTCATACAAAGGACTGTCCTCATCTATTTCGTGTACTATGGTGATTGGGGAGACCAGGAATATCCGGTCTATGCCGCTGTCAAACCCCACGTTGATGTCTATCTGATCCAAGGGGATGTACTCCCCTTCTGACGTGATCCTGGATTTGAGGAGCTGCGCTCTCACGTGCGCCTCCACCAAGTGGCTTTTCCTCAGGTTCCCAACGCGCCACATCAGGCACAGCTTCCCGTCTCTCATGGCCACCACGGCATTGTGGCTGAACACCAGAGTTTCGTTTCTCTTTTTTGGCTTAGCCATCTTTGCCATGACGGCCCCAATGATGAAGGCATCGATGATGCAGCCCACTATAGACTGGAAAACCACCATGAACACCGCGATGGGGCACTCGTCCGTGACGCACCTGAAGCCGTAGCCGATCGTGGTCTGGGTCTCGATGGAGAACAGGAAGGCTGCGGTGAAGCTGCTCACTTGAGAGACGCAAGGTTTGCTGTTCTCTTGGTTCTCCAGATCCCCGTGCAACAGTGCAATCAACCAAAACACACAGCCAAAAAAAAGCCAGGAGAGGATGAAGGTCAGGCAGAAGATAACCAGCATCCACCTCCAGCGGATGTCCACGCAGGTGGTGAAGATATCTGCCAGGTATCGCTGTCCCTTCTCCCCCACGTTAATAAACTGGACGTTGCAGTGGCCGTCTTTTTTGACAAAGCGGCTCCTGCACTGCTGCCTGGTGTGTACCTTGCCCTTCCCGTTCCCAAAGCCGTTGGCCACGGCCATGGTGGACAGCTTCATGCCGTCCTCCTCCGAAGACACGATGCTGTAGCGGTTGGTTCGCACGCTGCCCATCACTACTGCTGTGGACTGAGGTGCTTCTGCTTTAGAAAACAGTCTGAGTTTCTGCAAAACCCTTTGGAGAAACAGTTTTGAAAGTTCTAGAGGAACACACACACACGGAAAAACCGGGGAGAGGCCGGAGTCCCCAAGAGCCCCTGGATCAACCAAGGACAGTCTTCTGGCATGCAGAGTTAGCTCAGCAAGCAACCGTCATAGAGAGGGCATGGTCTGCAAGAGAAAGAGAAACGTCGTGTTAGCTCCTGGAGGGACAGGACAAGGAATCAAACCTGAAAGGATCAAGTTAAATTCCTCCTGCAGACCTGCAGGAAGTTTTCTTTTTTCTTAATAACACTCTGAGCAATGCTCAGCGATCACAACTGTGCATGGACAGGAGTCACGTCATCACTGTGAGGAAGTCACTGCTCCTCCCCAGGGAAAGCCCCGAAGGCATCGTGTCACACAAGGCCCTGAGCAATATTCACTTTAAAGCTGGACATGCAGAGAATCTCTCTGCTATTTGCAACTGTGCTTTCTGTGTATCGGGAAACAAACAACTCCCTTTAACATCCATCTGCTCAAACACAAATACTGGAGATGTTTGTGGTGACTTACAACCTGTCCCCCAGACTGTTTGTCAACGACAAACCAGGGAGTTGCAAAAGGGAAGGTGGCGTGTACAGAGAAAAGCAATAAACCTGGGAAGTGCAAATAGCAGAGGTTTCCATGAAATTAGATCTCATTTAATTTTTTTAATTAAGCTGGAAGAGTGAGCTGTGTACTCTCTGCAAACAGCAGGAATGAGGGTTGCATTGGTTCCTCTTTAACTCCAGAAACTCACTGGGATCTCCACGGGTTTTACACCCATATCAGGCATAAGTTGGACAAAGCAAACTAAACCTTGCAATGATGCAACTACCAAAAGGTTACAGTGGAGTAGAACCAGCTGAGTGTCTTCATAACACCTTTAGTAGCAAGAACCAGCACCTTCCCCTCGGGAGCCCGAGGCAGCTGATTCCACCTCCAACAGGTAGCGGCTCCAAGTGTCCCATGGGCCTTAAACATCACCAATTAAGACTCAGCTGAGAGGCTACAAAACCTTCTTCCTGAGGGTAGAAGCCACCAAACTTGTTTCGGGGAGGTCTGGCTTAGACCCAGGTTCAGCTTTTAACAAGTGCGTCATCCATTAAGTCGTGTTCTGTGTATCAGGAAATGGGATTGAAATGCTGCAGGAGAGAGGCACTGATGCCACTGCTCCATCCACACTTGCCCCATGCAGGAGACAAGGCTAAACCCGAGTGCTGGGGAATGTCTGCTGTCCCTTTGTCATGGCAGAGGAGACTTCAGAACCATTTACCATAGCAGGGGATTAAATCACGATGCTCTCCCTAAATTAGTGTTATCAAAATTCATCTGAGTTTGTCCAAAACCCAACAAAACTGCAGCCACTGTGGAGCACAATCCCTTCCCACCAGGACCTCTGTCCCCCAGTGGCTTCAGTACTGTCTCTTCCTCTGACTCGAATCCCACAACAGTTGTAGATAAGATGTTTTCTCCTTTCCCAACAGCAGCTCCTAAAGCCCTGCAGAGACGTTCCAAAAACTTGAGAGATTTCAAACAGTCCCTCAGCCCTCCCACATCCTTCAGCCACATTACAAGGGCTTTAGCTCAGCAAACACCTGTTAGGAAAAGAGCAGGTGACAAACAGCACCATCATCGTGCTCTCAGCTCCTTGCGGGCTGCTCTTCCCTCCAGGACCTCTTCAGGTTTTACTTTTACCCCCTCTTTCTTCCTCACTCCTGTTTGTTGTGCAAGAATGTGTCCCGATGCCTACTTGCCAAGATTAGTCATCTGTGACTTCAGCTCCTACAAGACATTTTGGCAGCTCTCAATAGGTTCAGTAATGCCCACTCTGAGCACAGCTCTCAGCAATGAACACTTACAGTGTAGCTGCCCTCTTACTTATTCTGTACATTTATTCTTACTTAGACAACTGCCTAAGGATCCACTTTCCCCCCTCCCTCACACCTTTTTGTTCTCGGGGTTTTTCATTCCCATCAGGATATCATTCTCAAAAATACAAAAGAATTCTTTTAATGCTCACTTAAATTATTTTTGTTTTGGCTGAAAAACACTTTGATTAGAAACCTGAACACAGCAGGGAAGCGAAATTACTGTTAATACATTCCACACAAAAAAACTTCTTGAAAAGCCATTGCACTGCTCTGCAAATCGATCACTTACAAACCACATCCTATAATCACAGTCATGTTTGACTTCCACGGTCAAAGTCTGTTTTGTTCCAAGCTGATGGAAATACACAGCCCAGGAAACAGTTTATTTTGAAGTCTGGAGTTCATTTTTTTTTTCCCCTGCATTGTCTTCTGGATTTTAGAGGAAAACTTGTGGTGGAGGGAAAGATAAGCTGTAAAGTCTGAAGTGTCTGACTATGCAGCTTCCCCCACAAAAGTCTTGACCTGAGGACATTTGTTTGAATTCCACAAATCACTGAAATCCTAATGGAGCTTCCTGCAGCGAGCTGGCTGCATTTAGAAGTTTGAGACCTGAATTAGGTATCCTGCATTGTCACATTCCTCCCCCGAAGGGCTGAGCACCTTCTACCTACTGCACCTTGCACAGCATTTCTCCTCCCTGGCTGCTCAGTGGCTGCTGTGTCCTTGGTGGACCTGCACCCACTTGGCCCTAAGGATCCCTAAATCCAGGGGTGTGCCTGGGGACACCTTTGCAGGTTGCTGGCATGTTCCACTGCAGCACAGTCCTCTTCTTGCTTTTACAGCACTAACTGCCTCTCATCCCTGTGAGTGCTCAGAGTGGGGAGGATGCCGGGATGTGTGGGATGGGAGCAGGACCAGCCCCGTGCACAGGGACCAGGCAGCAGGTCTGATCTCACTCCTGCTCGTGGCAGTTCCTGTGAAACCCCCACTGGATCCACTGGCTGCCCAGCCACACACCTGACCAGTGTTCACCCTGACCTTCACCAGAGGTCCTCCCCAAAATCCCAGACACAACCAGCATGAAAATCCAATGATACTTCTCATTTTGCTAATCCACCTGCTGCTCCAAGGCAGAGCAAGGCTTCTGCCCCCCTCCCCACCCCGGCATCAGCTGCTGGTGGCACCAAAAATGCCAGTGTGGGACCAGCCCCTCAAACCTCCCCAGACAAAAAGAGCCAGCCCAGTGCCCACCAACTCAGCCCAGCATTTGTGTAACTGAGCCCAGCGCAGCCAGACACACACATGCAGCTGGAAATTCAATCATCACTAGGTGTGTTATTATTATTATTATTAATCCAGGTTACCTTTCCTCCTGGAAGGGAGAACAAGCAACGCAGCTTGTAATTACCAGCACTGGCACTGACACAGCATTACTGGGAAGGGATGAGATGGGATGGGATGGGAGAGCCCTGGCTTGCTCTGCTGTGAGGGGATGCTTGGAGGAGTCGGGAAAAACGGGGCTGTGCTGCATCTGCAGCATTTCTGAGCCAGCATTTGGGGAAATGCCACGATGAGGAGCCCAAACCTCGCTTTTCCCTCAGCACCCCCCTGCAGCCCTTCCCTGGGGAAAGAGCTCACACCGCACGTTAAACTCTGCAACGAGCAGCTCGAAGGGAATTTGTGCAGAAGGTTAAAGACTGAGGCAAAACTCAGAAGTGCAAGGAGAGGGGGGGTGGAGAGGAGCACTAACGAGCGCTTGGAGCGGTTATTCCCAGGCTGACGCCACACAGCCCTGCGGAGAGAGCCGGGCACATGTTGCCAAGAGAGCACCAGCACCACCTCAGCCAAGCGCCTTCCCTGCTGCCCTCGGAAAACAGAACAAAGGAGCTTCTCGCCCCAGCGAAGCCCGTTCCCACATTCCTGCTCCCTGGCTGCCGGGCACGGCCACCCCTGTAACCTTTCTCCTTAAAAGTCATTCCCCAGAACTTCTCCGCTGGTCTGGGGAGGACTCAAGTTACACGGAGTGGTGAGCTGCTTGCAGGAGAAAGGTCTGTCCTTCACGGACAGGCAGTGGGGGAAAAAATAAATAAAAAATAAAATAAATAAAAAAAATGATCAGATTATGTAGGGAAATGGGTGCGAAGAAATAGGAGAAAGAGGACAAGTGGCGTTTGCATCTGCTGTCTTGCCAAGGAGACGCGCTCGGGGTATTTGTAGCCGATGACAAAATAACTACGAGTGGAACAGCCATCACCAGGGGGTGTACGTGGTGCACCGGCTGCGAGGATGGAAAAGCAAACAAGTGTAAAGGTAAGGCTGAGGCACAGAGACAAGTGCGGGCAGCCCGCGGGGCGCGGAGGCGGCAGGGACAGGGCGGCAGGGACAGAGCTGCGGGGACAGAGCTGCGGGGACAGAGCTGCGGGGACAGAGCTGCGGGGACAGAGCTGCGGGTCCCGCTTAACCCGGACACCTGCGGGTCCCCTCCTGCCCCCGCCCCGGGCACCGAACCCTCGAACCCATCTGCCTTTGCTTATCAGTATTTTTTCCTGTAACTGTCAGGAACTAAGCTGAAACAATACAGCTCTTCACAGCCTGCGGGGGTTTTTTCCTTCTTATTATTTTTTTTTTATTATATTTTAGCAGGCTGCTCTGAAATAAAGAAACCTCACCGTTTCCATGCTGCCAATGAATGAAGCTACAGGTTCATTTCACACCCCCCTAAAGCACTCCGGACACTCAAAAACACGCATCTGAGCGCTGGGACTCGCTGCTTCTGCCCTGGCTCTTGTGCAGGAACAACAGGCGAGAAGAAGGGAAAGGGATGGAGCGGCGCGCCTTGAGCGACACGGAGTTGTCATGCGAACTTCCAGCCCTTCCCCAGGATAAAATATCCCGGGGGGGATGGGGGGAGCAGCTGGTGCATGGAAAGTTATAAGCACAAACAGATGCTGGAAGCAGATGCTCGGGCGCTCCAGCCATACCTATCGAATTATTCCAGGCACTGAGAATAGCTCGGGGATGGGGGCGTGAGAAATGCAGGAGTTCCCCCTCCAAGCCGGGGCACGCAAGGGGAGCTTTATCTCGCGGTGTCGCGACACAGCATCGCGGATCGCCTCCCCCTCGGGGGGCTGCGCTCCGGGAGGACGGGGCTGAGGGGGGGCGGGTGGGCGACTCGAAAGGATGGAGAAGGCGCTTCTTACCTGCCGCGGCCCGCGAGGGAGGTGCGTGTGGAGGGCAGGGGTGTAAGATCCAGCAGCTGGGGGACGCCGAAGCCGGCCCGGTGCCCGCCGCCCGCCCGCTCTGCGCTCCCGCCCGCCCGCGGCCCCTTTTTGCGGGCGGCCATGGGATGTTTAATAGCGGCCCCGCCGGACACGCCCCCCCCGCCCCGAAGGCCAATGGAACGAGGAGGGAGTGGTCGGGGGGCGTGGCCGCGGGGGGAGCCCGGGAGAGGGATCGGCGGGAGCGGGAGCGGGAGCGGGGATGCTCCGGGGCGCAGGGGATGCTCCGGCGGAGCGGCGAGACCCCCGTCCCCCGTCCACAGGGTCCCGGGAGAAGGCAGCAGGGGTCCGGCTTCCCGGTGCGGGGAGTCCCGGGAGAACGCAGCCCGTCTCCGGGTCCCCGCCGCGGAGGGTCCCGGGAGAAGGCGACAGGTCTCCTGGTCCCCGGCTCTCCCGTATATAGGAGCCCGGGAGAAGGCGGCCGCTCCCCGGGTTTCCAGGAGCAGGCAGCCTGTCTCTGGTCCCCGGGCCTCCCGTGTGGAGGATTCCGGGAGAAGGCGACAGGTCTCCTGGTTCCCGGATCCCCGGTGCGGAGGATCCCGGGAGAAGGCGGCGAGACCCCGGGTCCTTGGTGCATTGGATCCCGGGAGAAGGCGGCCGGTCCCTGGGTCCCCCGCGCGGAGGGTCCCGGGAAAAGGCGAGACCCCGAGTTCCCGCTGCCGAGGGTCCCAGAAGGAGGCGGCCGGTCCCCGGATCCCCGGTGGCGGCCGGTTTCCTGGTCCCCGGATCCCGGGAGAAGGCTGCCGGTCTCCCGGTGCCCGTGTCCCCGGCGTGGAGGGTCCCGGAGCAGCCGCGGTGGGTGCGGGGAGGGCTGTGCGGGGAGGCAGCGCCGTCGCTCCGTTTCCCGGCACCGGAACGCTCCGGGAGCGCCCGCGGGCACCGAGCACCTGCCTCGGGTACCCCCCTCACCCTCCCAGTGCTGCGAGAAAGGCTTTTGCGGGACTTCACGCGCAACTTGGGAAGGTCCCGTGTGCTATCTGGGCGCCTGCTCGCTCCCGTTTCCGTGTCTCAGGCTGATGTCTCGAAGCAGTGAGAAAAAATTACCGGAGGCAGAATAGTTTCGTCCCTTTTGCTCCTTTTTTTTTCATTTTAGTGAAGGGAAACGCGGAGACGCAGGTTATCCCATCCCAAAGTCCTGACACTAACAGGGATGAGAAGCCAGGCAAACACAGCACAGCTCCTAGGCTGAAAATCCTTCTTTTTAACTCAAATCAAACGTCCCTTCCAAAACAAGAGCTTTGATCCCTGGACTAAGATCTTTTAGAGCACGGCTGGGAGCAAGAGCAGTATCAGCCTGGCTACAGTGTGTGGGATCCATGTCTTTGTTTCCTGGCTCACCTGTGACAACTCGGTCAGGCTGGCCAGGGTGGAAATATGTAGAAATCAAAATGATTTTTAATAACTTGTCCTCCCTACAGTGAACGTGGCCTAAGATACAGAAAAATAAGGGTGAAGGGTCTGGCTGGGAGCCTTGCAGGAACAAAAACAGCCTTGTAAGCACAGCCTGAAGTTTGCCAAGCCCTGATGGACAGTGCAGGGGTGTTAGGTTCCAAGGCAGGTGTCCACTGCAGAACATGCTCCTGCTGCCCCCGGAGAGCTGAGTTCCCAAGTGCCAACAGCTGAAATCCGGCAGGGAGCCCTGTCATGTGCTGCAAAACTAAGAGCCAAGGTGACTGCTGAGTGCAAAGGGGGCAGAGCACACAGAGCTTCAGAAACTGGCAAAAACACCTCGATTTGCACCCAGGACTGCGACAGCAGCCTCTGCAACACCCAGAACTGGGTACTGGGGATGCTTGTGGCACTGTGAATCAGCAGGCAGGTCTACCTGGAGCTGCTGAGGGATAGACTGGTCCAAGTGGATCGGCCACTCTCCTGCGAGGAACCTCTTACAATGACCAGAACAGGCTGTAAATATGATTCCTTACTTTCCACAGCAATGCCAGTGCCTGCAGTCGCTCCTTGTTGCTTAAACTCTCCTCCTCACTTGTTTCCTAAGTTTGCAACTCCGACATGAGCTGCCTTTAAACCTTCACTGGAGGTGCTTTCCTCTCTCATGGTGTAGATGTTTTAAGAACACGCTCCTCATGCACTGACCCGTCCCACCAACTGCCCCTCCTGGCACTGACAGTGTTTGCCGAGTTCCCCACACTCCAAATGAGGAAGTGCCACATTGTTGCAGCAATAAACACAATGGCCAAGTGCAGCCGGTTCAGAAGTGCCCGGTTTGTGTGTTCAGGATGCCCAAACTTTACGCGAGAGGGAGGGGGAAGAAGAGACAAGTGTTTCTGTACATTGAGCAATCGGGCACGTTGGGCAATCGTGCTGCTTGTGAGTTGTTCTTGGGTGGCTCTGCTCGTTTTGAAGTGGAAGGAAAGTCCTCTAGCAGTCTTATGAATGGTGAATCTGGAAAAAAAAATCTATAAGAGGCAATGAGTGCAATTATCTTGTTCATTCAGTAAAGCAAAGATCATTAAATCCACTGGATTGGAGAGACAGGCACAAATCCTGCACTGCTCGTGTCCCTGGATCGGACAGAAATATCCCTTGTTACTCTGTGTGCTTCCTATGGACAGCTAAAACAGCAAAAATTTGACTCACTTGGAAGGAGAATGTGCCCATCTATATGGAAATGAAATAAGGTAGAGCTGCAATCCACTCTTGGGAAGAGATGCTCTTCTGAGAGCTCACGCTGTGAGCTGGGCACTGAGTCCAGCAATTCTCTGTACAATATCCATAAGATATTTATGGATTGCAGCCTGACTTTGTAGACTCTTACTCAGCCTTTACTCCTGCAAACTGAGTGATAAAGACTACAGAGCTACTGGACCCAGAGATCTCAGATCCACTGGTATGAGTAAGGGTTATTCACAACCATTCGCTGAGGAGGGGTAGAGCACATACAGAACCACCGTTTTACAGCTCTCCAAAGTCAGAGCAGCTCTGCTCAGAAAGCTCTTCTTACAATGAAATATCGATTCTAATCTGTCATACAGGCAGTGAAAACCAGAACAGAACCATCTGCATGGACTTCAGCAAGAGAAGTCCTCCCAGACCCCCAAACGGGGAAGTTGAAGTTACAAGAAAAGTTTCTAAAAAACCCTTTCCTGTTGCAACAAGGCAGGACAAAGAGGGTGAGAGGCAGCTGAAAACTTAACCCTCAAGGCTGAGCAAGGATTTGTTTTCCTTCTCTCCATGACTGGTTTTCTAATTTGACTTAGCCCTGCCTCAGAAATCTCTCAGTGCCTTCTGACTGAAATATTAGGAGGGCGGTGTGAAATGGCCATGGGCTGAGGAGTTTTCAAGACAAGACCCTTTATGTGCAGAAGAAACAGCACCAAGGGATAGGAAGGGCTCTGGGAAGGCAGAACATCCCTATTTCATACCAGGAGGGGTAAGAAAAGGAGCCAGTGGCAGAGCAGGATGCTTTCCATAGGCAGATCCCAGGCTGTGCCAGTGAAAGCAGAGGTTTTTCACCCCCTTTTTCTGGCGTGGTTCTCACCACCTCAGCTTGCAGAGAGCTGCAGATGCCCCAAGGAAGCAAATGGAGAGTTGTGTTGCAGGCACAGCCCCTGCCAGCTGGGAGCAGAGGCTTTAGCCCCCGTCTCACTCCACGGGAGATGTTATTAAATTGCTTTTTCTGTCTTGGCGCTGAAATGACCTAATTATCAGATTGCATTTAGTCTTCATCTCTCCAAGTGGCCAAATCTGCTTTGGTTCTCAAGGGTTTTATTGCCAGCTGAAAATAGCTTGATTGTATTGTGCTTGCAAAGAAAACATGGTCTGGTGGAATCAAAGCAGTCCATTTCCACAAGATGGGAAGAAATGCCATAAATAACACGTTGGGCTTTCTTTTTTTTTTTCTGGTCTCACCATTTCCATGCATGTAAACTGGCATAAGTTTGCCTTTCTTCTCTCACCATTAGGTCAACTGGAAAAAATTCATCAGGAAAAGGTGGTTTCCCCATTCACAGCAAACCCCTGGGGTTTAGACATTAACTGGGTCTTTATAGGTCTGATACTGGGATCTCCAAGGAAAAATGAACCACGCTGGTAAGAGAAGGAACGGGTAAATCCAATGAAAATTCCACAGAGAGACGGTTACATGTTTGATAAGGCTTGAGAGAGCAAATAAATACATTTTGTACTTTGCAAGCAAATGGGATATACAGATGTGCAGCCAGCGAGACAGTTATATTGGAGAAAAATGTGTTTGTTCATAGGAGGGATGAAATATGGAAGAGGAAATTGAATTGCTTTATATATCTGAGACGAGTGGAACTCACACCCCATTCATGTTATTTTTCTTAACCATACATTTTGTGTCCAAAATCTCTGTTTAAGATTTCAGGCTGTCTCATTTGGTCTCATTCTAAGGACAAATCACCAGCCAGTGCCTGTATTTTAAAAAAAAAAAAATAAAAAAATAAAATAAGTGTGTGCTTTCTGTCTTTGCTGCTGCAGGTGGGGGATGTGGGGAGCAAGGTGAGGACATCTTGAAATACTGAACTGCAAACAGCAATCCATCTCTAGCAGGGACTGCATCTAACTACCAATCCAACAGCAACCCAAAGAGTTCTACCAAAAAAACCCTATTTCCAACACCGTGTTCCACGTGGCTCCATTCTCAACAAACTAAGGTGCCTAATTCAAAGGATCTTTCATTTCCAGCTAAACTTTCTGACCCAGTAAAATATGACAGACACCTGTTGGTAAAAGTGAGTTCTCTCAACACCTGCAGGGTCTAAGGCCTTAAAATGATTAGGAAATCTTAATCTGATATTTAATGTACACCTTGCACATTCCATGTTTGCTCGAAGCCTGGTTGTATCCAGACAGTTCTAGTACCATTTAGTGATAGTTTTCAGAGTTGATGATTGAGAATAATCTTCCAAAAATGCAACAAATGTCAGAGACATCTGGCATTGTTTGTGACATGGCAATATTGTATATTTTGCCTTGCCCAGCCAGAAATCAGCTGTGGCAGTTTGGCCTCAGAGGCAGAGGTGGGG